ACATGGAAACCTAATTTTTGAGCCAATACCTCATTTATTTTTAAAGTTATCTAGCTTACAAGAGGAATGAACAGATGATATTTCCAAGTCCTGCTTCGCTTCACGATGGTGAACAAAAATGTAAGAGGAGGGTAATTTAAAAAGTCACATTTGTAGGAAAGTCCGTCGCCCTGCACACCTGATTTAAACACAGTTTCATGAACTCTATTAACTTTTAATGTATGTGTTTGGATGTCTCTCAGCTACTACCACAACAAATTTAAGTTTGATTTAAGTAAATTGTTGTTAGAGCTTTTTTTGTGTTTTTATTTATTTTAATCAATCATGGCGGCTTCCTTGAATCACTCCAAAATTTAATCGGTTGCAGATGTACATCCAGTGATTACTTACTAAGAGTTTCATTAAAATGCATCCAGTGGGTTTATGAGATTTTTTGCTGACATGAAGCAAACATACTCACACACAAGCAATTACACGAGAACCTCCCTTTCAAGACTGTAAGCAATAATGATAATTTTCTCTCAAAGGACATAATAATGTTGCACATTTTTTTTGTAATGATGAAAAAATCTGCCTCTTCTCATTGGTTGATGATCATTACAGGATAATGGATTTTACAGTAAAATCAGATGACGACAGTCATAATTAAAGGTGTGGTAAACTCCTGTAAACAGTCCGGTGAGCTACGACACAGATACTGGTAGGTTTTATAGATGTTTAACTAAAACAGGTTGAGCAGAGCTGAATAAAACAACAGTGTTAAGAAAGGCTGAACTCATTAAGTTCAGCTCATGAAGTTTTTTCTCCTTATGGAAAATTTTGTCCTCCCCAACATTCAGAGCTTAATCTGTTTTGCCTCCATCTTTGCTTAAAACATTATTAACTTTTAGAGTCAACTTGTCTGCCTGTTTGCAACATATCTCCTAAGCCACAGGATGGATTTGAATGTCAGTAATTAATCATTTAATTTACCTCTACAACTTATTAACATTTAGAGTCATCCTAATTCAAGATAGCTGCTGTGGCTAATATAGTGTAAATATCATAAAATGGTTAAAACTGTGTCAATTTTAGCGATATTAAGGTAAAACTTGATGAGGTAGTAGCTGAGAGTGATCCTCAACACTTTGTCTACATGCTAAATGATTTTGCATAACGTCACTATATTAAGTGAAACTGCAAAAATATTATTTTCAAAGCTTTTGACCAAAACTAGTATAACTTTATCCCTTCTTAGCAGAAATCAACATGCAATCCTTCAAAGAATGCTACTGTTTTTATATTTAATTAGTTTCAGTAAATGTTAATTAACATGATACTTTTAAACAATGCTGTTCTTTATTTTTTTATTTATCACTGCTCGTTTTTTCATGATTTATGTGATCAGACTGACATGAACTGGACAATTTGTATCAGCATGAAACTTACAGGTAATTCATGATGACTGCAGTTCCACTGAAACACAATTTATTAATAATAATAATAAAATTAAAATCGATCAAAAATCTTTAATAAATACTACCTCCACCTTACGCTCACTGTAAACATTTAGAGCATGCATCTTACTTGTTTGGCTGGATCCTTCTTGACCAATCCGGTGGCGGCCGCAATGTTGCCTGCGCCCTCCACGGTTTTCTGGGCCACAGCCGTAACCCCGGTAACCATTGCTCCGCCCACCTGAGACACTCCAGACACCGTTTTACCAGCGACTGCAGGGACAACAGGGAGGAGAGGCGAGGAAATGATGAGAAGGGAGGATTCCTATCAAAGTCTAAATACCTGAGGGTTACAGACAGATTCTACCACATAGATTACAAATTGATTATCAGAGTAACTGGATTAATAAAGCTGCTCTGATTTGGGTTCATTTATAGAAGTTATTTATAATTTTAAAATGACTGTGCAGCTTTGTAACCAAATATCCTTTTTTTTTCCTTTGCTCCAAAAGGTGGAAAAGGAGGAGTGTAAATGAAATCGAATGAATTAAATCCAAGTGATGGACAGCTGTAATCAACATGGAGATAACAAACAGAGGTAGTTGATCAGGAAACCGTGGCTCGCACTGATCCATCAGCACCACTCAGCATTATTAATCAAGACTTGAAGCCTCTCAGGGCTTCATCATGGCCTGGATGGGCTTCTCCAAAGCAGATTATCAGATCATCTAGTGCAGATCGCTGACAAAACTTTATGCCACCCCATATTTATCTCTCACTAATCTCAGCATTAAAAGCACCCACTTGCAACATTATTCCTCCTGAAGAAGTGGCCACCCACCTCTGTCTTTCTGTTTGATGTTAATAAGAAGTGACAAAGAAGACCTGTGGGGAGTTTATTAAATTGTGTCAAATACGGCTGTGAATCTGATACTTCTTCATTCCTACCTGAATATTCAATAAGACGAAAAGCAATTTTGTACATACTTATTTTTTAGTAACAAAACATGGATACGTTTCATTAAAAGAAAGCTTAGACTTTTTAAAGTGAGGTTCTGTGGAAAGGTTGCAAACAATTAATGTCTTACCTGTTGCAGATAGCTGTTTAAATGTCCTCAGCTTGGAGAAACAAGAGTTTAGGTTGATTTGAAGAGTAATGGGTTTTATGAGTGGGGTCAGGAACAAAGTGGACTGCACCTGTTTATAAGCCTTTACTCTACAGTCAGCTTGGCTTTGCACAATTTATCTAGCAAAAATTATGCTCCCATTCTTACAGGGGATTCATTAAAACGTGCACTACCATGCAAGGCCAGACTCGTAACATTTAGATGTATTAAAGGGGCAATATCATGTAAAATCGACTTTTTTGAGTTTTATGTCATGTTATAATGTTACACTCTCATAAAAAAAACATGCCCAAAGCCTTGCTCTGACTCATTCATGCATGTTTGAGAAATCCTGCAGCATTTTTAGGCAGCCATGCTGAGGAGCAAAACGACAGGTGGGGACCAGAAACACCTCTGGGACATGTTTTTAAGCAGAACTTCCTCATGGCAGAGCACCCCCTCCTCCCTCCCCACACACTCTGCCCATGACTCCTGCAGGCTCTCGGCAGTAACAAAGCAAACGAGTGAAATTGAAAGTGAAACTTAACCTGTCTGCTGCTCTCCACACTACTTCTCACTCAGTGAAGCTCTTTTCAGATTCAAAATACCTTTGAGGAAATGTATTTTCAGATGCCAAGTAAACTGCATCGTAGCGCATTTGCGAAACAACCCACCCCCGCACGTGCGCAACCCCACCTCCCCACTGAAATGGGTGTGACAGAAGCGGAAGGTGGTTCTTAAAGAGAAAGAGGCCAATTTCAATGCGTTTAGAAGAGGAAGTGATGAGAAGATAAGTTTATTTTCTATTTAACATAAAAACAGCATTTTAATAACAGCTAAAGGTGACATAGATACTTTATTATGGTATAGTATTTAAATGTATACCTGAGAAACACATAATATTGGCCCATTAAAAGAACAAACTACGAGTCATCATTATGTGGTTGTTGAGAGCTGAAGCCAGTAGGATCGGGTTTACAGGAGATGTCATGTTGAATATTTGGGACGAGCGCTGTGCACTCAGAACGTCAAGTTTTAAGTCCTGCCTACTCGCCCTACGCGCAATCGTTATGTTACAATACTTAATGAAATAATTAATGAAAGCTAAGCAATTGAGAAAAAACGAGTACTCAAACATACAGCAGTGAGGTAAGGACTACATGAGTCAGTGTTAATGAGTGAAGTATTTGGAGCAACCATTTTATACAAATGGTGTGCATAATACTAAAGGCTAGAATCTGCATGGACTGTAGCAGTGGTGTAGTCTATGTGATACACAGGTATACCAAGTTTGTGTACAGTATATCAAACTGCAGCTTACATCAGCACATATTCTCCATAGAGGCAGATGGCGTGGCAGTATTCTACACAACCAGTGGAAACAAGGTGAAGTGGGCGGGGTCGACGCTCTCAGTTCAATACATCAACTCTGTCAAGTAAAACAAGCTTAAATAGGCTGCACACCCTCACGCAGTGTTCCTAACTACTCAGTGAGCTGTGCACGTCGGCGTGAAAATAAGAACCAAACCACGAGTTTCAGCTGTGTGAAAAAGCCAAACTACCAAAATCAGGTCTCTGAAATGGCTCAGAGAAAACAAACAGGCAGGTACCAATGCTGGCAAAAAGCACTAAGCACAAAACTAATAATAACAGATTAACTTTAATGCGTCAGTCTACCTACCTCAATACGTGTTAACTCACTGATTGTGTAAAAAAAAGAATAAAATAGTTGATATTTGGCAATTCTGTTTAATTTATATCAATTTTTTATACCAATCTAAACTTATTAGTTGCTGTAATGACAAAGTTTTGTGTTTGTCATTGTTTTATTAAAAAAGGTCATATTAATTAAAAAAAAGGCTCCATTGATTAAAAAAATAAATACTGTGCGCTGTGTGAATGTATGGTATAGCTCTTGATCCTGAGTGTTTCTAACCTTGTGTCCTTCATCTGAGGAACACAAAGGTTTGATTAAAGCTCATGGTACGTTCACACCGAATGCGTTTTGAGCAGCAGGAGCAGCCAGTTTACATGCAAAGTCTATGGTGGACGGGCCTCGAGGGGTCTTGCGGCGCGTTAGGTCCGTTTAGCGCGGCGCACAAGGAACGCGGAAGGTGTGGCAGAGCATTTTCCGTGCATGCGGTGCGGTGAAAGCAGCCGACACCCGAGTTCAAAAATCTGAACTTTTGCCGCTCGACGCGTCTTGACAACCAATCAGAGAGACTCATTTTTCCACGTGACGGTTTCCTGAACGTTGCACACAAACAGACGGACAGGAGCTCTTTAGCTGAAATCGACCGTCTGTAGTTGATGTTCTGGCTGGAGATATCAGCACCGATGTGGGTCAGCAGCTCGTTAAACTGGGCTCAGAACAAAAAATAGTCCATCAGCTAGCAGCTCCTGGAGTGGTGAAACTACCGAACAAACTGCCTCTAAATCATCTGGTGAAATAATTATAAGGTGAGTGCAACGTTCGCTTGCTCTTTACCTAATAAAGCAAAGCCATTTTCTTTATTTTGTCTTTATTTCATCTGCTGAAGACATTCTGGGAAAAAACCAAGACGCTCCTCCCTCTTCAGACGCACGTCTAGTCTGTGTCCCGGTCTTAATATAGCACATCCAACTGGAGGTGCTGGGTGCATTTTTGCTGCTCAAAACGCGTTTGGTGTGAACGTAGCATCAGTGTGTTTTTGGGGAGAGCAATGGGCCCACTTACGAGGCCCCTGCCTCTTCATCCATCCCCACTCAACACGTCAAATACACACACTTCCAAAATCTAGAAAACAGCACTGGACTATAGTATTTTAGCCCACGCCTTAGAGGCAGGACTGGCCTGTAACATTGTTTACAAAAGGTTGTGTTTTGGCTTTAAAGGAGACATATCATGCTAAATGCACTTTTTTTGCATTTTTAAACTATTTTTTGTGCAGTTATAGTGTCTAGGAGTGTAGAAAACATCAATTTATTCTGTTCTGTTACTGCAAAGATATTTTAATATATTTTTATGGG